GTAAAGAGACGGGACCTTCTTTAGCTTATAAGTGTTGCCTCGGGATCTCTACGACTTGGGTTGCAGCCGCGGCAAGTACAGACAAATGAGAGGTTGAATGCTCCGATCCATCAAGAATCAAGTCCATGGCGGACTTGCAGGGAAGCTAAGTTTCAGACGCGTAATCCGAACATAACCACTAAGTTACTAAATCCCAAAAAGTAAAGTTCTTCCCCTTCTCCGAGCTGAGCGGCTGGGGCATACTTGCTGATCACATCAGGAGGGTGGATCCTGAGCTCGATCGCTGCAGGCAAATCTCCCGTTACCCGCATCCTTACCACTGCTACATGCTATCAAGTTCGTTCTGAGCAAAGAATGCTGTTCATTGCCAGCCTTCTGTTCACGGCAGCCACCATCACCGGCACCAGCAGCAGCACCACTAACTCACTAACTCTATGATGGCTAGCAAGCACCTCACCACCACCGTCATTGATGTCACTACCATGATTGTGGTCAACATCGTCAGGCCGAACCACTCCGGGACTGCTAAAACCCGTCCGGCCAGATGCGCACGAAAATTGAAAAAGAACATTGCGTCGTCGGCGGGTACGTTAAGTCGTGCCCACAGTCTCAGTGCTTTAAGCCCATGCAAAACCCTGAAAAAAAACCCTGAAAACCAAAAATGAAACCCTTGCCCTGGCAAAAACCTCAACTCTTGCGCGGAAAGGCGTCGTGCTCGAGTCTCACAAGCTTAGAACTTAGAAAGCTGAGATCTTGATACGCACCAATACCTCAACACTAGGACCAGGATTTTGAGACGCATTCAGCTCCGATACCTCAACCCTACACCGGGGCGCATGTTGAACTCCTCGGTGGCATCTTTGCCCGCAAAGGTGATGATCCTGAGTTTCGGGCTTAAGGATTTAGAGTCAAAAAGATATTCTTCTTCAAGCCTTGGAAGAGAAGTAAACGATGAAAGTGGTTCAACATCGATGGTGTTGTTCTTGCTTTGTTGGGACACTTTGCTGAACAAGGCCTCGAGCGGCGGCTTACGGAACAGGGAGATTTTCGGGCGAGGATAGGCAGGCTTGGGGTTTAGATCAAGATCGGGAAGGGTGTAATGCCAAGAAATCAAAGGAGCGTTGTTGGGCTGAGGGTTTGGGGGTAACGAAGCGGAGGATCAAAGAAGGGTCCCAGGTGACAAGGGCTGTGCTGGTTGGAGGCCTCGGGGTGCTCTGCAGCCCAGATGCAACACCCTTAAACTACAAAGCTCTGTCCCGCAAAATAGAAAATCCTTGCTAAACCCTGTGAACCATGAACCTTAAGCCCACCAAACGGGGTGAAGCGCGGCTAAACCACTTGCAACCCAGGATCCCGAAGCGAAATCCAAGACCCCAAGCCCTAAAAGCCCAAAGCCCGCTCCCTGCTGCCCACAGCCCCAATAACCAACCAAAGTCACTTTAATTCACCCCCAGGCCAGGGTGCGCCAACTCGCCGCCCGGATGTTCACTCAGGAAGCTGGTGACATTCAGGACATCGCCAGCCACGACCACCTCAAGACGGGGGCAGACCTTCAGGCAAGGCCTGGTTAAGGCTTCCTAGGGGCTGTTGCATGCATCGAAAAGTAGGCGCACGCCGATACAAGAGCTCGAAACTTACCCGACCAAGACCCGTACCTGCGAAACCAAAATGATGAAACATTAATGCCGTTTGGGGAATCTTAGGTTTTTCGGCCGAAGTGACGGACATCATTTGTCGACGGCGTTTTTGTGTATAGATAACTGTTTAGGGCAGCGTGGGTTCCGGTGTCGTAGGGTTGCTGTAGCTTTCTTGCTGTGGCTTTGAGCGTTTATTGCAGGGGTGAAAGTCCTGCTTCAAGTTACTTTGGATGATCTGGTGGTTTACAGCCGCTTCCAGGCTACACAAAAACTTCGAAGATTTTCAGAGAGCCTATTCAAGAACTTCCAAAAGAACTACAACTGGAAAAACGCTCGATCTTTACACGCAGATCACGACACTTCGATCTCCACGCGGGCCAGGAATAAATCAAACCGAGATGAAGATCAATTTGACCTCCAAGAGAAGGTACGCAGGCGCTCACTCTCGGACAACAGGCGAGGTCCTGACCTCATGTTCTGCAGCAGGCCCAACAGATGATCAACCGTTTCCGACCACTTCCATGCACACAGTATTGAAGGTTTTGCCCCAGTCGGTCGCAGCGTTTTCCTTCTGAAGGATTCAAAGGATTGAATGCTCCCGAAGCATCCGGAAATTATGTCAGCAAGCCTCGCGAGATGAATCCCCGGCCAACAGGCGGAAGTTGCCGGAATCGTCTTGGCATGGCTCGGGTTTTTGCGTCATAAACCCAAACAGCGGCAACTCGCGGCCCGCGGCCAATACAAGAAAACTCCCGCCCAACAGGCGAAAGTTGGCAGGCTCATCGGGTCGGAGATTGGCTTTGCGAATGCTCCGATAACGGTTGATAGAGGAATCGTCAAGACCGACATGGCATGTTGAATTTCCTCGAAGAATGGAATTGGCTGGACGTCACGGCCAAACAGGCGCAGGCTCACGGCCAGCAAGCAGACTTTGGCGGAGACGTCTGAACACGCTCGGCCGGAAGCGGTGGAAATTAGCTGGATCGGACCCAGCATTATTGCTGGGTCCCAGCAATAATGTCGTGTCATGTTTCACAAACTCGACTCTGGTTGAACTGTAGAGCATGCTAGCTAGGACCTAATAAGGAGGATCTCTGATCTTGATGCGCAGCTGACTGCACCGTTGCTTCAGCTGCAGATGACGACAATCACAGCGATTTTAAAGGGCGTTTTCTTACAGTAGAGGGCGTTTTGGTTTCTGAGCAGCAAATGCATCATGCAAGCTTTAAGACCGTCACAGCGTCTTTCATCCGAGACCGTGTTTATTGTTTACGTTTCCCGTAAGGCTTTTTATTTTGCGTCACGGGTCGAGGCCCGCTAGAATCGAACGAGTGAAACCAGCTTGAACAATGCCCGTTGTCGAGGCACAGCCTAAACCCTGCACCAGAACCCGGAAGCCATACACCCTGAAGTCCAAAAGCCCGGAGACCCCTTCGAGCCGTAAACACCAGAAAGAAACGAAGCACCCGAAGACACCACAAACAAACAAAAAAACAACACTGAGCTCTGGCTCCTTTCGGCCCAACAGCCCTTTAGACCCCAATCTGAAGTAGGGCTTGCCTCAATCCTGTTCATCGTCTACTCTTTACATGCCAGGGCTCGTTGGGAGTGTGCGTATGTTCAGGTGTGATACTGAAAGAAACCCAGAGGTCAGATAAATCCTAACCCCCCCCCCACGGCACTTGTAACGACCCCATCCCAAACCACAAAGTCTCTGAAACCAACAGCCAACACCCTCAAAACCGCGAGTCGAGACAAAAACCTAAAAGGCACGATGTTTGAGTTCACCTTGCCATCTTGAGTGTTTCGCTCGATGTTTGAATTGAAAACAACAATGAAGGCGTGATAAAGAAGAGAGCGATCCTACAACAAACCATTTGGGTTGAAAATAAACCCTAAGGGCCCTGTGACGAGAAGAAAAACCAGGTCTCCGTGCCCAGCAGTCAGTCTTGGAGTTGTGCTTGGCCACCTGGTGGCATGGCTCCGTCTGTTGAGGGTTTAGACATTGGGCTCAGGATCGTTTGGCTTAGCAGAATCTTGCTCTCGCTCTCGCTCCTGCTCTTGCTCCTGGACCCCTCCAATTCAAAATGGGATTTAAAAGGCGGTGATGATTTCAGGGAGGCGTCTGCAAGGAGGAAGTGATTGTATTCCAAACTATAGCCTACTTACCAACTCCCGGACAGTCCCACCTCTGCCATAGAAATCGCCATTGCTTCCAGAACCTGACGCGACGCACTTGAACTCTTGGGCTTTCAGCTTCTGGATAGTGTAGACCCTGACCCGAATTAGTGACCCCCTTCTTTGATGAGGGTTATGGCAAGGATGCAAACATTGCGGCCTGACACACAAGGGGCCAGGGTTTGGGCTCGAGGGCGTGGGATATCAGATGTAGGATTCAGCTTGGGGATTAGATTTTAGGGTTGTGCTTTGGACGCTCGGCAGAGCCCGCCTGAGGCAATTCACCGGCCACGCTACTGAACGGACTTCAAAAATGGGTGCACTGGCGCTGAGCCCACGATGCGGTCACGTGTTTTGTGGCTCAATCCTGCATGACACTGAAACTCAGCCCTAACCGCAAAATCAAAACGGCCCTGGACCTCGAAACGCAAGTCTTGGCACTTCGGGAGTACTTCGAGCTTGGGGGCGTCTACTTTAGGACTTCAACCTAAAGCCCGAAACCCTTACCCTCAACCCTAAACAGTGAAGTGTTGAATACCTGGTGTAGAACATAAGTCGACAGTTGCAAAAGAACTCTCAATGGGCACTGGGATCCTTGTTGCCAGGACTGCTACAGACTTTACTCCTACTTCTTAACGACCAAGGCAAGTTTACGAAGCCAGTCCAATCTGATAAGACTGAGTGCAAGGACCTGGATCCAAGAGTCAATCGCATCGGAGCACAAGGATGCGCAAGGTTGGCCCTTCATAGTCCAAACGTGATTCTATGACTCTGCGTGTTCGCAGTTTAACTCGAAATTCTGAGTACTGAAGATCGCGCATTAGCAAATGAGAAACCCGGAATTGAACACGCCCCCGATTGCGACCGAGTTGAGACCAGGCATGAGATGTCGCCTGAACAGTCTAGCGATGGATGATGAGCTTACGTGGATAGAACGTCCTGCGATCGAGAACACGGTGTTAGTCCCCAAGCGCGAACACCCGATCGTAAAACGCCTTTAGCCCGCTAAACCTTAGTCGGGGCCCAAGGATGGACTCAGCTCTTTTGCATGGGCCGGGTCCTCGGCACTGTCCACTTGAACAGCGCGTGCGAGGCATGAAACGTGACCGTGTCAACGGTCCTATGAGCTCACGACATGTGATTAAAGTTTAGAAAGGATATTTTTCGAGGGAACAGCCTCTATTTTTAGGGCTGCGCCGGCTCCTGGCTCAAGGATCCGGAGGACATGGCGAAGAGGTGGGTGTAGAGCGGGAAGGAGGCATAGATCAAAGCGATGAAGAAGGTGAAGACGTAACCCATGTGGATGGCTCTGCTGTGGTACTTCTTGGGGATCTCCAAGGCCGGCGCTGGGACGACCTTCTGCCAGCCCAGGCACATGTGCGTGCTGAAGATGATCACAGCCGCCAAGTAGAAGAGCACCCAGCCCAGCGACTGGAAGATCTCGAACTCCATCCGGTAGATATCGCGCACGTACACCGCCTGGCATCCTGGGGTGTCAACCCAGAAGAGGTTCAGCCTCAGCTGGAGCAGCGTCGCCCTTAGCTGTGGCGCGAAATGGGGAAAAGGCTTGAAAATTGAGGTTTGGGCTCTTACTTTTCAATCTTCGTCATCCGATCGCCCGACGTGCGGGAAGATTGTTTGCAAAGAGATGTGTAGAGCCATTGACTTCGAGAGCCGAACCGGTTGGTTTAGGGTTTACGGTTTCAGACTTCGCAACACTCTACCCGCTCTTGCTCTCTGCCATCCCGGCGGCAGATTCAGCAGGTAGGGCGGCGGGCAGAGCTTCCAAGGCTCAGTGTCGCCAAACCTGAAGAAAGCTGCTGGATGGAAGCTTCCAGTTCAGGGTTTGAGAGTTTGAGCTCGAGAGTTTCAGTCTTCAAGCTCTCTACACGACCATGGCTCTTAGCCGTCTTCCCCGCAGCTCTTTCCGCTCTCCCAAAGGCTCTCAACCACAGCTCTCGAAAGTGTCAGGCTTCTTTGGCTTGTCTTTCAAGCTGTGTTGAAATGAGGATAGAAGGCAGGAGTGCATAGCCGAGATCAGGAGCACAAGACCTCTACTAAGTGTATGCGATGCGGGGCCTGATTAGGTACAATCAAGTGGTAGATGCCTGTGCTTCTTGTTTCAGACCTCTATATTCGCGATAGAGCACCACGACGAGCACGACGACCAACAGAACCAGGACCATAAGAGATTACCCAAAGACCACCACGACAGAATCCAGGAGACAAATTCAAGAGGACGGGCAAAATGCTTTCCTCCTCCTACTACTCGCGCGATTCGGAATGCCATGTGTCGGAATTCACAATGAATCTGGCTTCCCGAACCGTGTCCGCCACGATCTTAAGCCACGATACTGTGCAAGAAAGGAGCCACGTCCCCGGAAACGGTTTTCTGCGCGCAGTGCGGGAACACTAACCAACTCTCTTTAGCCTGAACAGCCGCATCGTGTTTACCATACTGTTTGAGGAACTACTTTCTCTGGCCCCTCTACTTGGAACCCAGGGAGTGGCTGGACCGTCTGAAGTGACGATGGGCAGACTTAGCTCTAGAGGCTTACAAGGGCTTCGCTTGCTCTTGGGGTACATCCCAAGTAGAAGGACACTGATAAGGACCCGCCTCCCCTTCCATGACCCTGTTTCTGGTAAGTCAGAGAAGCCGGAACTGGTAGAGGTGGATCATCATGAAGGTGAGCAAGGTGACGCCGGAGAAGGCCAGGTTCAACTTGCCAGATGCTACCTCAACGTGTGCAAGGCTTGCGAGGGTTGGGGAGTCCAGCGCTTCGGGTATGCGGTTTAGGATTTGAAGGTTCAGTTCGTTGGCAAGGCTGATGCTTGTGAGCCTTAGCGAGGAGTTGGCGCTTCTCCCCAGGCTAGCGGATAAGCAAGGTTTAGTGCTGAGAGTCGCGATCATAATCCAAAGCATATGGCATGATCCTTTTACTTGAGTGCGGGTCGTTTGTGAGTGTCCAGGCTTCCTCTATCCGCCTCGATGAGGCATTGTGATTCTCGCTCGTCATTGCCTGGAGCACGAGCCGTAGGTAAACCGGAAGAACAGAGCTAATGCTGGCGCAAAGACGAAACATGACATGCACATGTAGCAGCACGAGAAAGTCAGTTAAAACATCTTCCGCATTGCTGGTGGCAAGAACCAGCAGCGTAGTATCAGTATTCGGGGCGACTTTAGATTTCAGCTGAAACAGCCCAGCAGCGGAGTAGTTCATGCTGATGTCCCACGTCCTCCCGTCCCGGAGGCTGATGCGTTGGGCTTGGGGTCTGCGATGTGTGGAGGAAGGCGGAGTCACGGATTGGTTGAGGCTGTAGGGCAACATGAGGGCCTGCGAACAGGATTTAGGGCGTTTCGTAAAAGTATTTCCAGACTACTAGTATAAGGGAACTCTGCTACTGGTCAGTTCTTTCGACCTTCTTTGGATGCAAGATGTTTGCTGCGGATAAAAAAGTCACGACGGGCTTGAGAAGCCTTTCCTGGGCCTGGCCCGCGAGGCCCAAAACCCAAACCCAACTGTCTGACTGTCTGACCTCTGAACCACACTAAGCTGACGTCCTCTTCAGGGCGACGAAGACGTGCAGCAAGGCCGCAAGCAGGATGTACTCCTCAACGATGTTGGCCTGGAGCGTGGCATCTGGGGATTCCCAAAACCCCTATAACTCATGAACATCATAAACCCTGAACGGCATAGACTTCCCAGGAATCCCTAGCCCTCACCTTTCAAAATGATCAAGGCGCCTGGAAGCCGAAGCCCGTCCAGTAGAGTCGGACGTAGAAGTAGCCGTAGCCGTTAAAATCGTCTGGTCCTTCATGCATTGGGGCTTTGGGGATTTCGGGACTAGGCTTCAGGAGCCTAGGATAGTAGGATTTGACGGGGACCTTAAGACTGAAGACTTGCGAACTGGCCTCGAGGGTTGGGACTACGCTTGACGGGTCAGGCTTTTATGGGCTTGGGGGTTTGGAGGCTGGGGTTTAGGGTTTCACGCCTGAGAGGTTGAAGGTCTTCAACGTGATTGTGGTCAAAGTCACAGGGTTGACGCATCACGGCCTATCTAGGTCGGGTCTGGAGCCCAGATAGAAATTTAACTTCTATCCGGGTTTGTCCACACGAAGGAGGTCAGGTAAGTTGGCTGCTTGAATATGTGCGCCCAACATACAAGTTGTTTTCACGGCTCGCAGCATCCCAGGTGCTGGGGAGGTGCGGGGGAGGTGCTGGGGAGGTGGGAGGCAGTAGTGAGGTGTTGGAGACATGCTAGTCACAGTCTCATGGACTTCACTTTCGAAGCTTTGGCAGCGGCCAGACACCAACAGCTAGAGTGAATTTAGAAACTCATTCGAGGGCTGCGGTCATGCCGACTCTAGGGACATGCGTCTCAACACCAGGATCACGTTTTGGCAGACCCCGGATTCTGGTGTTGACAAATGCTCGTCAACACCGGAAACCATAGTTTTCGTCCTAATTCTGGAGAGAGAGGGCTAATTCTGGAGTTGAGGCTCGTAGTGTTGGAACGAAAATAGTCTTTGCTTTAGCATAAAGGGTCCATCCTGGTGTTGACAAACGTTTGTCAACACCAGAATGGGGGGTCTGCCAAAAAGTGATCCTGGTGTTGAGACGCAGGTTTCTGGTGTTGACAAACAATTGTCAACAGTGACAACACCAGGATCACTTGTTTGCAGACCCCCCATTCTAGTGTTGACAAATGTTTGTCAACACCAGGATGGACTCTTTATGCTGAAACAAAACTGTTTCCGTTCCAACTCTACGAGCCTCAACTCCAGAATAAACACTAAATACAGCCACCGCACAGCTTTGGAGAAAACGGCCAGACCACTGACCACAGGGGGCTTGCTTTGCGCGGGATGCTTTGCGGTTTGGTTGCCGTTGTCAGGTCACAGGGAGGCCCAGACACTGTGCTCGAGATTGCAAATTTAGGTGATGCTTTGAACATTGGGGTTTCTGCAGAGTCATCAGTGTCATGGGCAACACAACCAATCTAGCCTCTAATTTCCCAACAGCCCTTAGAGCTTTAAAGTGTTTTCCAAACTCGGGCCAGTCACTATGGGAAGTGAGTCGATCTGCTCAGGAGGAACCCGCTGCAGTGTTCGAGGCTTCGCCCCTCGCCCGGCCTAGGAAAACGTGCAGGTTGCCCACGGCGTGGATGATGATGAAGATGAACAAGAACCTTTTGCACGCAGAAGCTTGGGGTCCGGAGTCTTAACCTGATGGTCTGGAGTCTTTTGGATAGTTTCTCTGTAGCATGCCACTTCGGGCAAGTGCTCTGACTACAACCAACACCTCTCAAAATACTTCACCCTTGCCTGCATCCTTCTGCCTACAGCGCTTCCTCCCAAGTCCAACCCATAAACCTAAAACCCTACACCCTGAAGCCTCAGCCCTAAACCCTCTCCCCCTAACATCCCTTGACCCCAAGCGTGAATCTTACCCCAAAAAGCCTGAAACAGTGAAGTGAAGCCTAAACCGAGCAGGCAGGCCGACCAGGCCGACCACTCAGGGGAATCGTGGAAAACGGCTGTCTCAACTCTTTGGATGTGGGCTGTTTTTGGAGGCGTTAACGTAAACGTAAACTTACACCCCCCGCATAGGAACCTCGATGGTTGGTACGGCTATTCCGGCTAATTCCGTATGCCCGTCCTGGGTACCCTCGAAGCTGATTCCACTTGCTCAAGCCGTTTCTCACATATACACAACTCCGGTAGGTTCAAAGAGAACGAGACACAAGAAACTGGTAGAGACACCGCACGTCTTCAGGCCCGCGATCTTCATCCTGCAGAATGCTGACTCCTACACCCAAGGGCCTGAACGCCAGACCAGCCCGAACTCCATAATTCCCTACGCCGGAAAATCTAGCACCGCCAAGATGCATCGCGGAGCGTGTCAGACCCACGCGGTCACCGGTGATGGTCACGTTGCTTTGCGGCACGATAGTGAAGAGAATCTCCTTCATGAAGCCGAGGACCTGACCCGAGAAGGATCCATCAATGTCGGTTACAGGGTCCAGGGTTTTAGGCTCTGATCTTGAAGGCTCCGAACCCTGAGTGCCGAGACACCATGTAGAAGACAGCACCGATCCATCCGGGGATCCTGCCTGAGATAGCGAGGCATTGAGGTCTAGGGAGGACGAGTTCGGGCTTACGAGGCGTCAGGGCGGAGACAGCATTTGCTCGAAGAGTTTTGAAGCTTAGAATGGAATGCTCAATCATTACATAGACTGGGCCGGTGCTGCAGAAAAACTACAAGGATGTCAGGAGCGTTCTCGGAGGGTGTTGCTTTCCTCATGCTTTCTATCTTCTTGTAAGGGTTTTTTTGGCGATTGGGGTTCACAGGTTCGGCGCTCTAGGATTCTCGTGATTTCCGCATTGAAAGTTTCGGGCTTCACGCTCGGAGGTTTGATCTGAAACTCCTCGAGAACAGACCCGAGGAGCGGTCTCAAGACCTGACTGGAGCTTGAAGCCCAGGGTGAAGGGCACCGAGTGTAGGGATTCGGGTCTCAGAGTTTTGAGATTTGTCCATGTGGGGGGGGGGAGGGGCTAGGCTTTTGGGCTCGGGGCTCCGAGGCGTTCGTGAAGAGATGGAGGTTCGAATTCTTTTGCAAGCGATCTTCAGCTTCGATTTGCCCTGACCGAGCAGGCCTGCACAGACCCAGAATCAAACCTGTGAGCCACCGTATACCACAGACATTATCAGGATGCAAACTCTAAGCCATCAACATTACAGCTTGTGGGCATGCAGATTCAAGCAACAATAAGCTTGGCAGAGAGTCTGATTCATGGTGCTTTGCCAAGCCCTCCAAACACCCTGAAGTCTCAAAGGGCACGAAGCATAGCAGCCAACATTCCGAACTTCAAGCCAATAGACGACAATTTAACCCCAGAAGCCCTGAACGGCAGAGGCTCCTTCAAACCCTGTGCGCCCTGAAACAGTGTAAGCCCGGAAAACACTGTAGGCCCACACCCAAAGATGTAAACTCCATCCTGATATCCCTTGGCACGGTGAGGGCCGCAAAGCGCAAAGTATAGATAAGATATAGATGCATACATATATAGATATACATACATACATACATACATATCTGTATGTGTGTGTGCGCGGTTTATTTTCTTCTGAATTTTGGCTTGTTCCTACATATGTGTGTATATATATATATGTCTAATATATATATATATATATATATATATATACATACATACATATACATACACATACATACATACATACATACATACATACATACATACATACATACATGTATATACATACATACATACACACATACATGTACACACCTATGCCAAGTTGCCCTCGCCCTTCATGCGGAGCTCACGGTTCCTTGGCTGTTGTGGGGCTGCGCATTCGATGATTGACCCCAAGTACACCAAACGCCTTGGGCTTGTGGGTCTTGGGCCTCGGAGCAGAAGCAGGGGACTCGAGGTTTGTCGAATAACATGCGGTGTACTAAGGAGCCTACTTCGGGATTGTTCGTATGTTGGTTGTCATGAGAGTTTCGAATAGCAGAGGCGCAAGCAGGGTCCATTTAATCCCAAGTATAGCCAGCTTGTCAAATCCCGATCTTTCAATTCAGACCGATTATTGAAAAGTCCTCTTTTTCAACCTACTTATTGGCCATCCTTTCAAACTTCCTAGCTATACCAAGTCCTCAAGAATCACCCGTTTGCAGTTCCGGGCGCTCGTTCCCACAAGAAAAGGGCCACCCTGAACCCTGAACCTCTAAAGCAAAACACGAAACCCCGTAAGGCCACGTGTAGCTACGCTGAACACCACAGACTCACCCAAAACACATGTCAAGGCAAGAACTTCAAACTCATCTAGATGCCCATGACAGCTTGCGCAGTAAGAACGATGCACACACCTCTCAAATCCTGAAACCCTGCAGAACACTAGGAAACTCCCACACTCTGAAACGAGTTGAATTAAGGACTCTCGTATGCACTATAGGCATAGGGCCAAACCCTGTAAATTTTGCACAAACACATGTAAACTCTGTCAGAACCCCTGTAGAACAAGGACTGAAAACCGACACACCAGTACGTGGAAACCTCAAAGACCAAGTCCGCAAAGACAAGCGCGGTTCAAAAACAAGCCCCAGCGTCTTCTCGTGTCTGCTCCAGTCCTTCGCCTGGCCCCAGAAGTTGGGTGCGTGTAAGGCTCTTGGCTTAGTTGAGGGCTTCATCCCGAGGCTAGTAAGGGATTGTGATTGTGGGAGAATAACCGTTGGGGAAGAATCAGAATGATTTAACCAGTACTGGCAATAAGAATCCAAACGACATCAGAATACTATTAATACTGATAACTAATAAGAATAATCATGATCATAACTATTCTATTCGTACAAGTGTACTGTTGCTTGCAATGATGACAGTGTCTACCAGTCCTCTCAGAAGAGTCAAGCAGTGGCAGGGTGATCTGAGCCTGGTTACAGCCTGGCGAAGATCATCACCACACAGCTATTGACAACCCTGGCTAGAACCGCAAATACCAAAAGCCCAAAAGAGGGCCATGAGGGCTCAGGGCTCACGATATCCGCGGCGGCAGCGCCTTCTGTCCGCTCTTGTCCAGCAGCGGCGCTCCGAGGCCGCCTCCCGTGGCCGCCTCCGCGGCGGGAGCCGGGGCGCCGGAACCGACCTCGGCGACTCGGCGAGAGCGAAACCGAACACTGCCCAGCTCGGCTGGATCCCTAACCCAAGTACCCAAAACCCTGAGGGGGCCTTTCCAATGATGGAATCCGGGGCGTACTTCCCGATGACATCGGGAGGATGGATCCTCAGCTTTCCAGTCGAAAGGCCGTTCGGTCTGGAGGGTCTTTTGAGCATCTTACGGTTGTCAGGCATAGGGCATAGAGCTTTATTTACAGTTTATATGGCTGCTTCCTAGGATTTTGGCTTCGGACTTGGGGGCCGAGATGTGCGTCCGCAGCCCACAGTCACTTCTGGTCACTTCTCAACTCTGGGGTTCGCTTTCGTACAGCTTCAGGCTGTGGTGTTCAACTGCTGCCCTTCATGCTTCAAGGTTTTTCCTTGACTCCAGATGCAAGATGCGCACACGCAGAAGGCTCTACCACCTCCGTTTCAACATGGCCGCTGATGTTCGACTGCAGTCGCGTACCTGCACTACGCTGCACGCCCTAGACCATCTGCCCAGTGTCATGTTGAACTCCTCGGTGGCATCCTTCCCAGCGAAGGTGAGGATAGCGAGCTCGCCACCGGGGTGCTCCGACAAGAAGCTGGTGACGTCAAGCACCTGAAGCCCGTGGTGCCCGCAAAAAACCCTGAGCCCAATTCCGTTTGATATTAGGAGATATTTGCAGCTGCTCACGCCTCTAAAGCATTCCCTGCTGAAACGAGATTGCGGAATTCTGCAACTTTTCTCGTAAGTTGAGCACAGAGCCTTTGGGCATGGCATCCTACCGGACGGCTCTCAAAACGTCAGTTGCCCGGTTGAGGGATCCGGCCTGTCCGTCGACCACCACCCAGCAGTCCGTCTTGCTGTTGTGCTTGCCCACCTCCAGATATGCTGCAAGGTCGTCGGATGCGAAACTCTAGAGGTTTCTTGATCTTCGGCTGCAGGGTTCTGGGATCCAGGGTATCCAGCTTTGGCTTGGTCTCAAAGGTGCGGTAGTTAGGTATAGGTTTCGGGAAGGCAAACCCGAGCACCAAAATCCGATTTTACAGGGCTAGGTGGCACTGCTCTCTTGGGGGGCTGGGGATCTTGTTGCACTCCGTGCTGAGACACGATGCAGCAAACTCCGTGACCAGGGGCAAATTATTTGAGTTGAGGTTCGGATTTCGGGTTTGGACCCCACCATGACCAAAGACACAACACGCCAAACCCCTGTGCACTGTGCACTGACGACCTCTTCCATCGTGATTCCACCACCGCCGCCGCCGCCACCGGCGGCCGCGACAGCACCGCCGCCGCCACCACCACCAGCCCCGATCCTGTTCATCGGATTTTGAGATTGAGGAGCAGGTCGCCAAGAATCTGCATGCATGCATGCATGCATGCCTGGCTGTCTGTCTGTCTGTCATGTATATATGTGCATGTGCATGCAAATATGCATGCATGCATGCATGGTTGCATTTATTTTTGCATGCATGCACTTATATACACCTAGACATCTACACATATATACACATGCACATACATACATGCATTAAAACACACAACTCTATATATATATAGACATACATACAATATGTGCATGTGTATATATGTATATACATATATACACATATATACATCATAGTATGTATGGGTTTTGCAGAGCTTGAGGATCAAGGGGTTAGCAAGTCGCTGTTGAGCAGTATGACAAATCGTCTACCCCCGGCTTCGTGCACTATAAACTCTCGATGAGAACTTATGTGCCGCAGCATAGAGTCAGATAGACCTCAATTCAGACCACGTGAAGCACCCCACAACATCACTACATCATTAATCATATAGAAGTTATCGGGAAGGCCGAGCCACATGCCAATCACAGAGTCGGGCGCATACTTGCCGATCACATCGGGAGGATGGATCCTGTAAGCTAAAACCCTTGGGGTAACTTGCATCTTGGGGCTACGGTTTGGATTGAGGGAGGCTAGGGTGGGGAGGTCATGAGAACATGGGTTTTGGGTTTTGTCTAGTCTGGGCTTCGTTGGGTTTGGGGATGCAGTGCGTTCACACGTGAAATGACATAGCTCAACTCAGCCGAGTGTCATGTTGAACTCCTCCGTGGCATCCTTCCCAGCGAAGGTGAGGATAGCCAGCTCGCCACCGGGGTGCTCCGACAAGAAGCTGGTGACGTCAAGCACCTGGCCATCGACCACCACCCAGCAGTCCGTCTTGGTGTTGTGCTTAGCAACATCTGCAAGGCTGATGCCGCCACCACCACCGCCGCCAGCCGCGGGTGCAGCTGCAGCGGCCGCCGGGGCAGCAGAGTTCATCTTGTCCTCGTAGGAGCCGCCAGCCAGCTTGGAGCTCTGCACCGCGCCAGACAGCCCTCCGCCGGTGATCTGCATCAGGTCCACATCCTTCATGTCCGCGCCCAACATGTACTTGGCAGCTGCCTTGCCCGCCACGCGGCCGAACACCACGCAGTCCAGCAGGGAGTTTCCTCCCAAGCGGTTGTTGCCGTGCACGCCGCCAGCCACCTCGCCGGCAGCGTACAGGCCCGGGACGGCGAGGTTGTTGGAGCCGACACAGGCGGAGTCCGTGTCGATGAGGAGACCACCCATGCAGTAGTGGATCACAGGCGTGATGATGGCCACATAGAAAGGCTCGGACTTCACGGCAGAGCCCGGAATGATGTTGTGGTAGAACTTCTTGCCGCTCCCGGTCTTTCCGCTGGCCTCATCCCAGCACTTGCCTGAGGGGTACGCGGGCCATTTGCCTCCTTCGGGATCCTTCTCCATCATCTTGGCAGCCTGGTAGTGGTCCTCGTGGGCCTTCTCGATCACGGACAGGGGGATGCCCATGTCCTTGGCCAAGTCATCACCGCTGTTGTAGTACTTCATGACCTGGAGCATCTCCGGAGTTTCGCATGAGACTATCGCGGCATAGATTTACGAGAGACGGAAGTTTCTGACCAGTAGAAAGCTCGAGTGCTCGAGGTCTAGCGCCCCTCAAACCCTCCAGCAGTGCACCCGACCAGTCCCCGTCCCAACACACAAAGCCGAGGACTTCGGATTCGGATGGGGGAATATGCGCAGACTACCACGGTAGAGTTTAGATGTCACTAAATTTAGTCCTGATCTCGAACCCGTAGCATCGCCACCTATGCAAGTCAAGCTTGGGGGTGGCAATGATAATAATGGTCTCTTCGACGCGCCGCCATAGAAAATCAACCGGAGCATGTAAGATACACCGATGCTGTTTGGGCTGCCTTGACTCTTGACCTGATCGCATGCAAGATCCCTGCTTCAATCTCCTCTTTGACTCCGGCATCTGTAGGAAACGGAAGCAAGTCTTGCCAATAGGGACAAGCACTCATGAAAATGACCTTTCAAACAAAAAATGTGTCTGAGATCCCAGCACCACGTCCTGTGTAGTGCCTGGCACTCCAAGACTCTATCCTACCCTAGGAACCGGAAGCGCTCAAGCCTGAACCCGCATCTCCTCTACCTTTACCGCTGAGGCGAAAAGACCATGCTCGAAGTCCGCATCTATGCCTTACAAAAACCCGAGCCACGAAAGACAGACAGACCTTCAGAGCCGAGGGCTCTAATCTCGACTGGACTATAACCTAAGGTCTCCCAAATGTCTGGGGGAATGATTACCGCTTTCCTTCCCACCTGGTAAACGCCTTCCAGGGCCACACTAGTCACTAGTCCCTGTTCAGCCGGCTTGTTGTACACCAGGATGCGGAACTGCCAAGCTGAGAATACATGGGCTTAGTTTGCTTCCACGGGGGCCGCATGGGCCGGTTGGTTTTGTCGTTGCCGGCCTTCAGTGGCGGTTGCTTTGCGGTTCCAGGGTTTAGAATTGTGCTTTTGGGTTTTCGGCTTTAGGGCTTCAGGGTTGCCGGCTTGGGGGTCATCAGTCGAGGTCCTAAACCCGAAACCCTCAAGCTCCGGAAGCGATCGAAGTTAGCAAAGAACACTCCGACCGGATCAATGTTTAGTCAAGTGTTGATATCACCCAACACAGGCCCGAATGCAATCCGCACTGAGTGGAGGACTTGCAGTGCCAGATGATCTCGTCTGATGCAGCACGGTTGAGGCAAAGCCTGGCATCGCGCGGCACTCTGAAACCCTAAACCCATAAACCCTCTCCAGGATACTGGGTGTAGGGCTCTAAACCCTAAACCAGGGACTTACAAAACCTAAACCTGAAAACCTCAATCTAGGCTGGCCCTAGAACCCTCTCAAGACTACTCCTACCTAAGCCCTAAACCCTAAACCATGAGATCCTTTTGCCAAGAAGGGATCATAAAATGTCCAACGAGCCTACCCAGCTATAAGACCTCTGCTAGGTTGGCCTCAGAAACAACCCTCTGAAAAAACGTCCTATTACTTACTTACCTATACTTACTTATACTTACTTAGACTTACTTATACTTACTTACACTTACTTACTCTTACTTATACTTACTTATACTTACTTATACTTACTTATACTTACTTGTACTTACTTATGCTTACTTTTACTTACCTATACTGACTTATACTTACTTATACTGACTTCTACGGCCTTATACTTACTTATACTTACTTATACTGACTTGTAGTATAAGATTTCTGCTCGGCCATGGATTGGGAATCATCGAAACAATTATTTTGTTTTTAGTTTTGGGTTGATTTTGTATTGTTGTTTGCTGTTGGCTTCGGGTTGCGATTTTTATTGCGTTCTGATTTTGCGTGCTTTTTCTCTTGGGTTTGGGTTGCGTTATCTGGTTTTGCGTGAGTTTTGCATTCGGTTTTGGGTTTTCACTTTTACACTGTAGTTTTGTTTGTTGCATTTCGGGATTGATCGTGTTTCTTGGGCCTTTGGCGGATGAGTATTTCAGTGTTCTTCTGGGTGTGCTTTCTTTTGTTGCTGCCGGACTCTCATTCTTAGTTTCGCTGTATTGGAATGAGCTTTCGGTTCCGGCGCATCTCGGGTTTGCTGGTGATTTCGTAGTTCATGTGTTTGCGGTGATTGTTCCTCCATGCCGGCTCTTTGTCTGCTGTGCTGCAGCAAGGTTGCTCATGTACGACGATGGCGATGAGTGTAAATCTCATGCGGGCCATGATGAGAACGATTGAAGCGAGAAAGATGCAACTCAGACTCACTACACTTACCGTGAAAACGAGAACTTTTTGGTTCTGTGACCTACATATCCTTAGCAGTGTGTCTATCGCACGTGCGTGTGGCACTTAGTATTTCCACTCCACGACACCGACGACGACTACGAGTACGACAAGCAACGACAATGACTGATGAAACTTGGACTGGACTGATTAGACCTGTATTTCATGCACTACCTGTACCTTCCATCGCACCTCATCCGCTACAAGCATCCTTTTTATTGTGAAGTTTTACATTAAGACCAACATCAACAGCACTAGTTTGACAGACCTTCCACCCCATGCACAATCACCTCCTTCATCCGTCCCTGGGTTTGGCTGAAGAACATTACCAAAGGATGTCCAAGCTGTCATTGCCACCGGACGATTGGATGTACCTCGTCTCTAGACTCTGGACTAGGACTAAGCTGTCAATGTAAACCCACATCAGGTCACCGACGTCTCAAGCGCTTAAACTGACTCTAAACCAACCTAGGATTTAATGCTTAGGGTTTAGGGTTAAGACCCGAAGCCCGAAGCATCAATGGCTCAATCACTTGGTTGTGCTCGGATTTTCTCACAAGCGATCAGTGCTACGACGCTCACAACGTGGTGTGAGCTTTGCTACCACTTCGGCGTCAACGTGTTTGTTCGTGGGGAGCTGGAAAGTCAGATGAAAATCTTTGAACTCTTGGACTGCATCTTTGTAGATTGCCAAGGCAGTCTGCCCCGTGTTGTCCTCAAGGGTTAGACTTGCACCGCGATTGAGCAAGGTCTCCATGCATCGATATCGCGGTTGTTCAGAGAGCCCAACACCAAGAGCAGCATTCATCAAGAGTGTGCGGCAAAGCTTATCGCGTGCATCCACATCTGTTCCACTGTGGAGGGCTGCAACAACCAGATCGTCCAAGCCGAGATACGCAGCGACGTGGAGTGAGCTGGTCCCATCCACCTGCGGTAGAGTGCTGCGAAAATTATGCAGTTCAATTTCCTGCCTCAGTGCTTCGTGCTCTTCCGAGCTGAGCTGCGCCCTGTCCAGAGTTTCGAGCAAAACATCCCTCATAGTAGTGCCTGCATTTGGGCAAAGATTTCCACGCTGCATGAATAACTCAACGCCCATGGCTTCTTCATGGGTCAAGTAACCCAGGCCCTGGAGAAACTTGGTGGTGTAGAGCCAGGAAGTGGTCAGCGTATTGCCCCATGCCTTGTTACGCCGAATCTCATTGAAGCGCGCCTGGATAAACGGCCGACAGTCTGCTTCTCCAAGCGATACATATGCAGCGACGGTCCACTTCTTCTTGACCCTTGAATGTTCTAAAAAGGCCTTGATCGCCTGCGCAGCCACCCATGTAGCATAGTTTGGAAGGAGAGAACATGTCAGCTTGAGCTTTGCGATGTAGAGGAATCCTCCAGAGGATGTTTTTGGATCTCGCACCAGGTCTTGATAACGTGGGCATCCGTCTGAATCGAAGAGAACTCCGGCGACGTCGACGAGGTCCTGCGACTCGGCATCGCATGCGTTAAAGAAGAGTGCCTGACCTTGTTCTTGACATGCAGTGCGATCGACAAGGTGTGCCTTCAAGATTCCCATCTTTCTAGCATCAACTTGCAGAGTGGCCTTAAGTGCCCTCGTCTCGTCATAATCGCCCCTCTGACTGCGGGCCATGCGCACAGACACCTCGCAACACCCAGCATCCACACGGGCACCCAAAAAGGAGTCTTCTTCCAGAATGCTGCGGAGGAGCTTGCAAGTCGCTGCAAGCGCTCGGAAGCTGGAAGACGGCACTCGGGCAACGACCTGCACCAGGTCATCACTGCCCAAACTGAAGCACAGTGGCGCTGATGTCGCTGCCGTGTTGACAGCCGCTGGCCGTCTCTTGACAGCCGCCGGCCGTCTCTTGACAGCCGCTGCTGGCCGTTTCATACCATGTAGGAGCCCATCGGCTGCTGGTCTCGCTTGGGTGGCTGTAATGGTCATGCGGCTTGTGCCTACTGACTGCTTGATGCTTGTTGTAACACACTGCCTTGTTGGCAGCGCCTGTAGCGGTGGCAGCGGAATCACATGTCATGCGGAACAACTGGCAAATACTACTGGCAGCGGGAGCCGTAATGGCCACTCAAAGGTACAGGTGCAGCCAGGCCGCTCGTCAAGGAAAAGTCCAATGATCGGAAGCTTGCGGGGAGGGCAGTTTGCGGCTGCGATATGCGATGCCGGAAGCTTGACCCAAGGTTTAGGATACAGCAGGCTTACATTGACATTGCCACATTTTCAACATTCGGCAAAGTCCTTGTTCGCGCTGCACCTCCAAGTAAAGTTTTAACCGAATCACCAAGGTGTACGTTCCTGGGGACCACGAAAAGAACCCACAAACGAAGCGATCTCCGACGAAGTCTTCAGAACAGCTCCGCCTGAACGGTGGCTTGCTCTTCCACATCTCGCCCGTGACATAGTCGCGGCCTCGTGAAAGCAACGAACCCCGCACTTAGCCTGAAACTCCCAAATCATGTATGCGGCAATGCCACCCGTCCTCCCACACCATTTGACCCTCAGACCTATCTCAGGGCTCAGTCTCAGAACGGGGTCTTGGTTTCGGGCTTACAGTTTGAGTTTGGTCTGCGGTTTACGCTCCAGGGTTTGGGCTCAGATCCCGACCGCTAGTTCGCTGTGTATGACAGCTTCGAACGGACCAGCCCGATGTAGACCACTAGTACAACGTCACCTATTTCTACCCCTGAACTCCTGAACTCTAAACGGGACCGTCGCCGAAACCCCACACCCTAAACCCATGTAACATAACGAACCCCGCTTTCCTCTAAGGAAGCTGAAGATTCGGGCTGACATTTTATGAGGTCGTGGTTAGGTGTTGGAGTCTTGCGTTCTGGGGTGTTAGAGTTTCAGTTTAAAGCTTAGAGCATGGGGCGGTAAAGCTACTGAGCGACTCCATTGTCCCTCACCTGAAGGATCCCTTTTTGAACATATTCCTGACAAGTAATCAGTGTATTGAACTTGTTGAATTCCTCCCGGCACCCTCAAAAGACACGGAACCCCAATAGAAATGCAGAGAACCCTCTGCTTCAGGCCCCAACGTCCCAGCTCGTTGCAGAAACGGTTGCCCTCCGCCTCGTCAAGTTTTGCTCGGGCTTTGCTTGAACCGGTTTTCGGGGCTGCATCGATCAATCAATCCACCAAGAAGCTCAGTGAGGCGACATCACCGTCGTCATTTTCAGTACCATCACGGACACACTGAATCATCACCAGCATCATCTTATCATCATCACCACCAACATGACCGCCACCACCACCATCATCGTCGTCGCGTCATTCCCCATCCTCTTCCCCATCGTCATGATTAGACGTGGTACACTGCATTTTGTTGATCGTCTGGCTCGTTCTAATTCCTTCGCTTCTCATTCTCGCAAACACCCCGTGAACACCGACTCTCGGAGGACGTTTGCGACTCTCTGGGCTCTCGGCGTTGAGGATGATGCCGCCCACGCCACGCAGGGCCTTTTGGGTTTAGGAATCCGGGGCGAAGGTCTTAGGGTTAGAGAAGTCTCGGGCTTAGAGCCTGAAGGGTTGCATGGCTTAGCCTTCGGAGTTTGTGGGGTTAGGGTTAAGGGTTTAGGTTGCAAGGCTTTCTAGTTCGGTGGCTTGAGGTACCGGGCTTCGGATTTGGAATGGGTCCAGGGCTTAAGGGCTTCTAGGGTTAAGGGCTTCACGATAAACGGTTTAGGGTTTCAGTGGCAGGGATTCAGGGTGTCGGGGTTTCAAGTGGAGGATTACAAGTCAGCGTGTTCGTTGAATTACGAGTTTTTGAAAACCCTCTTTTTGGTATGAAAGGATTTTTCGCACAATGGTAGTCTTCAAGGGTTGGTGCTTCAGCATGAAAGCTTGGGCAGTTGGGGTCCCTTCCAGGCATGCAACTAGAACCGCTGACAAGAACGGCAGGTTAAAACAGCGTTTTTGCAGAGTATCATGCGTTTGATGCGGCTTCAAAGGCAAGTCTCTGGTATGGAACGGACGGGGATGAAGAGCTGAGTAACGAAAGCTTCTGGAGCCAAAGCAAACTTACATGTAGGGATTGTCGCGAAAGCTGTCTTTTTGCACCGTGTTCGGTTGGTGACCTCACAACTTGTTGCAAGGAGTCTTGCATGGCTTGCGCAGGGCGCGGAAGAGAGTTCCTTGCGATGCATGTTCTCTTTCAATCAAGCTGATTGCACTACATATGCACGTAATTCCGACCTGCTTCTGAAGCTTGTATAATCCGTGGGGAAGGATGCCGGCACTCCGCGGTTCAGGGTGTCTACAGTCCCTACGCGGGTGAAGAACCCCGGAAATGCACTGAAGCAAATAAAACTGAAACCTCAAAAAAAACTAAACCCTCCACCACACATGACCTCGGCAGCCAGAAACTTGATCTTCGCATCAGCATCGTCCGGTTTCACCAGGCCGGTCGGGTGCACCTGAGGGGTCGTTTTGAATTTTGGGGGTATAAAGAGTTTGGGTTCCAAGTTGAGGCTCTATCTAAAGTTTAGGTTTTAGGGCCCGGGGTTTGGAGCGGTTCCTTAACTTGACAGGCCAGGTACAACCTGGGCTGTGGGGCTTGGGTTTTGAGCCCTGGGCCTAGGGAACAGATCGGGGAGTGTCTTTCTCTGAGTCTTGATGTTCTTGCGTTCAGTGACTGTTGTGATGACTTGCACGAGCATTGCCGTCACTCCCATGACACCTTGCCCTCTGAACAAGTCCTCGACAAACTTTCCAAGGTCTGAGGCGTTTCGAAATGAGGGTCCAGGGTTTCAGGACCGAGAGACAGGAACGAGAAGACGGAAAAAAGAAACCGTTCTGAACCCGAACGGAACGGATTCGACACATCCAGAATGTGCACCTGAACCCACTCGAGGTCGATCGTCTTTGCACCAATGGCCTCGGCAAGCCAGTACAGTAAGGATCTTTGAGGGACCCGTTCTTTCGGGTTCAGTCTACTCAGGGCCCACATTCACGTCCCTTGTCCGGGCCTTGGGCTTCGCCGAGTTAGGATTCATATCAATGGCTGCATAAGGTGTTTGGTAGGATCTCAGAAGGTTTGTTGAAGGTGTCGGGGGTAACGGGTAAGGCACCCAGGCTTCGGTTTGTAATTATGCTGTGCGGCGTTGGGGGCAAATCCTTCGGTGTTGGGGTTTAGGGCCTTTATGTGTTGGCACTTTTGGGAGTGATTCCATATAGGTGCCTTAAAGATTTTTAGTTGTCAAACAAACCGTGAAGGGGACTTTAAAGGCAGAGGAATGTCGAAAACCTCCATACTAGGATCTGAGGTTGTTGAAGCTTCACGGCCTTAAGTCGGGCACCCTAAACCTTGACCCCATTCCGAACTCGAAGCACTGTCAGCCCACCTGCTGCCATATGCCCAAGTCCAATCTCCTGAACCCCGAACAAACCCTTCAGTTTCTCGCTTTCGATCCCCCACAACAAGCCTACAAACGCCTCTCAACTCACCAAGATCCTGACGACCCCAAAAACCTGGACAGGGTATTCAAAATCTCACCCCGTTCGCGAGCCTCGCCCATCTTGATGCCATCGCCGGTGCAGTGCTCACCGTTGGTGGTGGGCCTCGGGGATCACAGGAGCTTTAGCGTTTGCAGATTGGTCGAAGGCTTCATAAACAGCAACCAGAGGTATGCCGAATAAGTAATACCGCGAACGAGCAACATCTTCGTAGTCCGCACTGTGAGATAACGATGACGATGGCCCTGGTCGTAATGATGAAACTGAAAGATGGCCCAAGCCCTCCAACCTGAACACAAACGCCAAGCCCTGAACCCTAAACCCAAACCCTCCACTCTGGACCCAACCTCAAACCCCACCCGCAAACCCTAAACCCCAAACTCCAAACCCCCAAACCGTTTGGCCCAAACCCTAAGCGACAACCCAAACCCTCAAACCCTAAAGCCTAAGCAATAAAACCCAAGCTCCAAAACCCTAAACCCTAGAATTGGGTCAGGGCACAGGTGCAGAAGGTCCGGCCGATACTTAGCCAGCAGAGAGTCCTGGAAGGGTTCAGGGCTTGGGTGCAGAGCTCTTTTCAGGGTTTAGGGTCTATGAGGTTTAAGGTTGGGGTTTAGGGTCTGGATTTCTATTTAGGGCGCTGGGGATTTGGTGCCATGCCGTCGGGGGCTACCGCGTCTAAACATGGTACAGTAATCTCAAAAATGGTCGCACGGCTGCAATCCCCCGCATCCATTCGAGGGTCGTGTGTTTGGGGTTTCGGCGGTCCAAAACCGTTTAACTCCGTCTAACAGTAAAATCCCAAACATACAGTGTAAACTCCGAAGTGTACACTCTAGACTCTAAACCCTGAACCCCAGAATTCCTGCGACGGACCATATCCACAAAAAAAAAAAAAAAACACCCCAAGCAGCCCCGGACCCTGAAACCCCTAAACCTTGCATCGCAAATCGTAGACTCCACAGGACCCATCTCCTTAGACCCGGATTCCTACCTCCCCTGCCCCCCCCCCCGCCTGGGTAAAGTCGGCTCCAAAGCCGCCTCGGACGCTCAGGGGCGGCTTGGGGAGGGGTAGTTTGTGGCTTCTTTTTCTGTGTCTTGAGGGCGTTGTTACGTTTAGGGCATTTAGTTCTGCTAAGTCGCGAACCCCAAGGTCCTATACCCTGGAACCCCAAACCCGAAAAGTCAACAAGCGACAAAAGCTCCAAGCCTGATGGCAGCCTGGCTAGGTCCTTTGTTTTTGTGGTTTTTGAACATTGGTCCTGGTAGTAGCAGGAGAAGGCCAAGTGATTGCGAGTCCGGCTGGTGTTAGTTGCAGGGTTTGGAAACGCCCAACCCGAATGAGGCAAAGCCGTGTCAGGTGTCTCAAACCCTGAACTTTGAATGCCCCACCCTAGTCAGAAACCTACGACTCCCAAAACGCTCGAAACCCACGCGCCTGATGCCAGGATCACCGGGCCGAACTCCTGCAGGTGGAGGCCACCCTTCTCCTTGGCAGATAACTTAGCCGTTTGGGCTCAAGTCATAAACCCTGGGGTTCAGCGTGTAAGGTTTGGGGCGGATGGCCGATATCTCCGTTTCGGCCTATTGTTCATTGGAATTTAGGGGTCCGAGGGCCATCCCGGGATTTGATGGGGGTCACAACGTGCTGGCTTTAACCGGGCTCTGGGTTCAGGGCCGAGGGTTCTAGGCATAAGCTCGAAATGGCGATGCCCCAAAGCTGTAAAGCCGAACCCCCGCCCTCCCCCCCCAAAAAAACAGCTCTTCGCCCACTGCTATGCTGTTTCTCGGGATCGCAAGTAGTGGCAGGTTCTCTAATATTCGAGCCCTCAATTTGTTCCCGGCACAGAACCTCCCTCTTTGTAGTAAGGACCATCGTAACAACCACGATGATTCAAAAAACACCCTAAACAAGGACCTTCGTCTGAAAGAACCTAACAAGGGACCTCGCCGTAGAAAACAGAACCGCTTAAGACCTGAGGCCTAGAGGCTTTGGGTTTAGGGTCTAGGATAACTCCTTGTGTACAGACCTGGATTTCTCGATAGTCTTATAGAGTTTGGAAAGGCTGTACAAGGGTGCCTTAAGGGTTCCTGACTACTCACCCCCCCACTTTTTGTAAGGGCCCCAACTTTAGGATCCTAACCATACCTCTTATTTGGGAGTGTTTATACCATACAATGCCAGCTAAAGCCTTGTGTTTCTTCAGGCCGTTATATTCGACCCTGAAACGTCATAATCGGCCCTGCTAGGACCTATCCACTTGTCAAAGCCCCCATATTACATCAAAAGCCGCCCTCCGACTGAGAGAGGTTTGGAGCTGCTGCTATTGTAGGGCTGAGGGATGTTAAGGTTGTACTGAGCTAAGGAGATGAGCGTGCACTGGAGTCACTGGAGCTCCAAGAAGCCAACACTAGAAATGTTGCTCGGTTTTGTTTGGCTGCTGTCCATGCTTGGTGCTACTGCCTGGCGTCTTGAAGATGTGCGTTTCTGCGCGGTACTCGGCTTACTTGTAGTATCACACTCATGATTTATTTTCTTGCTCTGCTCATGCCCAACTGTCTTGAACATCTCTGCTGTCGCCACCACCATCGCGGTGCCCCCAGCTGAGCACAGAACCATCGCCCAAGATTGCAGCCAACGCGCCGCTGGAGGCCTGGATCCGCTGCACATTCTTGAGTTGCTGCTGCACGGCCCTGCTGTCACCACCGTGGTCGGGATGACCCCAGCTGACCACGGATCCATCATTCAGGATCGCAGCAAATGCAAAATTCGAAGATTGGATCTGCCGAACATCCTGCAGCTGCTCCTGTACAGCACTACTGTCGCCGCCATCTTCGGGATCACCCCAGGTGACCACTGATCCGTCTCCGAGGAGTGCGGCGAAGGCGCAAGATGCCGCCTGGATCTGCTGCACATCCTTCAGCTGCTCCTGTACGGCACTGCTGCTGCCACCGTACCAAGAATCACCCCAGGTCACCACAGATCCATCACCTAGGATTGCAGCAAACGCGCCACAGGAAGCTTGGATGTGCCGCACATCCAGCAGATGCTGCTGTACGCCACTGCAGTCGCCGCCAAATGCAGGATCACCCCAGGCAACCACAGATCCATCAAGCAACACTGCTGCAAAGGCACGATTCGAGGCTTGGATCTGCCGCACGTTCTGGAGTTGCTGCTGCACGGCCCTGCTGTCACCACCATGGTCGGGATGACCCCAAGTGACCACAGATCCATCATTCAGGATGGCAGCAAATGCGTAACTCGAAGCTTGGATCTGCTTAACATCCTTCAGCTGCTCCTGTACAGCACTACTGTCGCCGCCACATCCGCCATCGCCCCAGGTGACCACAGATCCGTCGCCCAGGATTGCAGCGAATGCCCCATCGTTGGAAGCTTGGATCTGCTGCACATTCTTCAATTGATCCTGCACGGCGCTGCTGTCACCGCCAGTGTCTCGATCACCCCAGGTGACCACAGATCCATCACCTAGGATTGCAGCAAAGGCGCCATGGCAAGCTTGGATCTGCTGCACATTCTTGAGTCTTTGCTGAACGCCACTGCTGTCGCCACCATAGTCGTGCTCACCCCAAGTAACCACAGCTCCATCATTCAGGATGGCAGCAAATGCAAAACTCGAAGCTTGGATCTGCTGAACATCCTTCAGCTGCTCCTGTAGGGCACTGCTGTCGCCACCGGATTCCGGACGACCCCAGGTGACCACTGATCCGTCTCCGAGAAGTGCGGCGAAAGCAGCCCAATACACTCCGAGTCCATCAACATCGTGTTCTTCTTCTGTCTTCGCCCCGGTAGCTGCAAGCTGCACCTGCTTCACGTGCAGGGTCAGCCTGTCACCGCTCTGCAGCCTGACTTCATTGACAGTTGCTGCTCCGTCAAGCACCTCGCCAAAAGCATTCAGCAACCTGCCCTTGCCAGTCCCCAGAGCCAACTGGGCGCGCTGTGTCAAGGACTCAATGGATTCATCCGCCCGCACTTCAACAGAGATCCTCTTGCCACTCAGCAGATGCACATCTACCAAAATCGACATGATGCTACTTTGCTCTTCGGGGTGGTCGCGACATTCACAACCCACACCTGCCATTTGCTGCACGCGTACATCTCCTCTACCGGAAACATCCCCAAACCTACGACTACGACGACGAGTCTCTAAGACTGTGTACATCTTGACTGCCCGCCGTTGATGGCAACAACAAATTGCACGATGCACATGTAAAGAGCGAGAGAGGCAGACAAAGAAAATGCATACGTAGGCACAGATATTTCTACCTCTTCCAGCTTTCTGACAGGAGGATTTTGCGGATCACGTCAGTGGCTACAGACATGGGACTGTGGCAGCCAGGACGGTTTTCGGGCTTTGGGACACGCGGGTCCTGGGGGTTCAGGAAGACTGTATGGCCTGCTTGACCATGTCGGGGGCACGTGAACTTCCTGAATTCCACACTCATGCACCACCCTCTGAACTCCAGGCTCTAGGGTTCACACTTTGAGGGTTTAGGGCTTTCGGGTTTGTAGGGTAAGGGCTTAGGGATTAGGGTTTGCAGTTCAGGGTTCAGGTTTGGGGTAATCCATACTCAGCCCAAGATGCATAGATACAGCCCACGCAGGCGTTTTTATCCGTGACCAGCTGGAAGACCTTTGCCTCAGCGGATGGTAGTTTTTGGGGCTGAGGCTGACGGGGTTTGGCGTTTAGGGTCTAAGGGTTATGGGCCACTTATTCGGATTCTTACACTAAAGGATGACATTTAGCGTGGAACAAGATACAAAACATCATTGCACCGTCGCCGGCGCAAATGATAGAATAAGCCGTAGTAGATTTTATGTAGATCGCAACAACAGAAGCGGAGAAAGCTCCGAAATGGAAATCTGAGTGGCGACACGGCTGCTCACTCTTGAAATTCCGAGCAATGAGAACAGCAAACTAATGCTGAAAGTAACAATGGCACGCTGAAACTCCACAATCTGAAACCTTAGACCCTCTAAACACCGAAACTCCCAACCATCAAATCAAACCCTGGTCAATACCGGCATTTCCCCAACTCTAAAGTTCAACGCGGCCTTTGTAATGATGCGCGCCAAGTCCGTCTTCTCAGCGACCTGGCTGGAAACAGAAGGGGATGCTGCATGAAAGGCCGAGACCCGAAACCCCCAAACTCAAGGCTCCATGCCAGCCTTCTCGAGCATCTGGATCAAAGCATAGGTGATGGTCATGCCAGGGAATCGCTCCTTTCCACGATGGGTGCGAGGCTGCGAGTGGCCACCCAAACCTCAGCCGCGACAAGGCTTCAGAGGGTCGTCGTGCAGCCTTTGCCTGGTAGGAAAGGCTTCTAGGGTGTAGGCATTCTGTAGCTACCGTCATGGTTGTGGGGATACGATTCAACCCCAAAATAGGTTTGCTCAGAACTTGTGTTGAAGGCTCTTGTTGGTTCAGGGCTTGGGACTTCTGGCATTGAGCAGAATTGATTCGACAGTTCCTCGAAGCGCAAGGCTCGAGCGAGTGCCTGAAATACGCGCTTAGGCTCCCAAGTAATTAGTTGAATCAAGCTATGGGGAACCCGAGCTCGATTGGGCCTGCCTTGAAAGAAAAAAAGCCTGAGGGCCAGTTTGATGGAAGCCTCAAGGACAAGAATAGCCTCGTGCGGCGTCTTACAATTCCCCAATCTTCTGCCCATCTCCACACCCCACAGACCCCAAAACCCCAAATCCCCCTATGTTCGAGTTTGGGGTCGCGTCGTTCAGCCCGGCTGCGGGCCACGAGGGACAGGTCAAGGTTGAACTTCTCCACGAGCCAGTCCTTCGCTGGGTGCAGGGTTTAGAAGTTTAGAGGTGTGCCGGTGTTTTTAGGTCTTGGGGCCTAAACATGGCGTGTTGAAGGCCATGCCCCTGCAGGGGTGTCGGTTATGGAGCATGGCGCTCTTGGCATGCACGGTTGCGAAGTTCATGAATGCTGTCGAGGGGATTGGGGTTCAGGGCCGCAAGCCTTACAAGAATATCCTCGTAGAGCCTTTAGGGCCCACAAGCCGGTGGCGGACCTCCCGACCTTCACACCTTCCGGCTACGACCTGATAAAGCCACACGGTGGCAGTGCTCTGTAACTTACGATACGACAATCGACTGCCCCCGCTTGCCATGACAAACTCACCCCACCCCCCCCATCAGACAGTACACAAATTGAAGGAAACCCCGCATGAAGCTTCGAGCTCATAACCGTAAGGCTCCTGTTTATTCGGATGGGGGTCCGAAACCGTCGAAGCTTTAACACAAAGGTGGGTTTAGGAACCGATTCTCGCCGCCAAGGCGCAACATCAGCGGCGCTGTTCACGCACAGCAGCCTCGGCTGGGAAACTTTGGCGAAAGCTCGGTGGCCTTCCTTCCGGCTTCAGGTACCCCTACCCATTTATGGTGGCTTCGAGGGTTAGGATTTGGCCTTTGAGTTTGGGGCTTCACGGCTTCACGGCCTAAACAATCTTTCCACTGTGCTTCAAGAATTCTAAAGTTCAGGGATGCTTCAGGGATGGGATTCTAGATTCGGGCTTTGGGACAAGGGCTTGACATCTAAAGACACTAGTTGTTTCTGGGGTCCCACTCCGGGTCCTTCTACTAAGAACCATGCTTTAGGTTCAGGACTGACGGTCTGGGGTTCAACGGCTGGGGTTGGGGTGTTAGAGTCAGGATTGGGATTTGGGCCTGAGCTGGCTTGAGGTTCAGAGATTTGGGCTTGGCTCAGGGTTTAAGGCTTTTGGGTGGAAAAGACCTTGGTCTGATGCTAGACCCTCAAGGCCCTTGAAGGGTGTCTCCTACATACCCCGACACTTTTGCCACGGGCTAGCACAGGGGCCTGGATAAGCAGCAATAAGCAGCAGTAACAGTCTAAAACAGTCTAGAAACATTCACAGCTCTGAAAGGGCCCTATTACAGCAGACAATAAACAAACTAACAAAAAAAAGAAGAAACAAAGAAACACCCAGAACGTAGACAACCTACAAAGCTGATATGTAGGAACAAAGATCTGATATCCTTCAAGAACTGGATTTCAAGACATGCGTATAGTAAGCCCTATGCTTTTCACTGCCAAGTCACTTCGCCAACTCTGGCTTCTTTGCTCCACCCTTCAAGGTGTCCTCTTGGGGGCTCAGTGATTGGGGGCCTTCATACTTCACCAATCAAACAGGGTTTCGGTGATATGTCGAAGCATGTATCGGTGCCACAGCTGGATACTGTGCCTGAACATGTAGACTCCTATATTGAGGCTTGAGCTCTAGGGTCTCGGGTTTGGGATGTGGGTGCTTGGTCCCATCCCGCCCTGAGCATTCGGCTTAGAAGAGGTCAAAGCTGGGTTTAGGATTGCACCTCACTGGGCTTCAGCCTTCTGACAACTCAACCCGCTAACAACAACCACCCGAAAAAAGCCAATAAAACCTTACCAACTCCCCGATCCCTGTGTAGGACCTCAAGCCTGATCCGAGAGCAACTTGGGAGGCGGAGTGGGCAACATTCACGTTAGGCATGTGTACGTAGAAACAAGCTTGCGACTAGGAAACAAATTTATGAACGCGTGAGTCCATGCTTTACGAGTGGAGGCGGTTGTTGTATCTGTGTACGTGCTTATGCACAGAAGTACGCATGCATGGAAGCGTACGGAGAACGTGCTGCACATATCTACGTTTCTATGTCTCCACCTGCACCTGCAAGTGAGTGTGTATATATGCTATACATACACATATACATTTACATATACATGTACATAGCAAGAAGACACGGGTAAACAAACATGCCGTAGAGGCTGCGGGCTTGTCTGTTGAGGCTTTGCTGGAGGACAGTGTGTACAGTCTGACGACAGGGGGCCGTGTCCTGGTAGGGGTTTGGGGTTTGGGGTGTGGGGCTTTTGGGGTTCAGGGTTGAACGCTTTAGGGCTTGGGGGTGCAGAGTTGTGGGCTTTGCGTATTAAGGTGCTGGGCTTTCGAGGGTCAGGATTTAGGGTTTATACGGTTTTGGGGTTTCGGGCTGTCCTGGGTAAAGATCTCGGCTGTGTCCGGAATGCCCTTTGCTTTCTGCGTCTTGGTGCCTCGTCGCAGAGAGCATCTTTCCCGCCTCCCCGAAACACCGCCGAAACGTTGGATCCCAAACTCCAAATCGCTACCCTGACAAGGATCAACCCCAAGTCCAACTGAGGCTTTAGGCTCGTTGTTCGAGCCCGAGGTCAGATCGGAGACATAGACGAGGGCTTCTTTAGCTTGAGCCTCAGAATCGTTATCCCTCAGCTGGTGGTCGTCGTCATCATTCAAGCTTCTGGGCAGCAGAACAAAGAATGCAGGAGTGAAATGCAAGCTCCGCTCGCTGGTTTCCCAGCTTTAACATGGGGCCCCCTCTGCGGCCGCAGTGTGCGGGCCTTAGGAGTATGATTGAATGCTTCTTGGGTTTGGGGTTGCTCTGAGGGTCAAGAGCCCCCACCTTCGGAAACAGAGACCCGGTGCTGCCTGCTCCGTTGATACCGGAGGTGGCTTTGGTGCTGTTGCCACCACAAAAGGACGACTTGTCCTCGAGGCTTTAGGGCAGGGTCTCTTTGGGCCTTCTAGTGGCTTATCAAGGTTGCGGGTTATCAAGGTTGCTGGCTTTAGCGGGTGGGGGTTTCGGGGTTTGGGTTTACAGTCTGGAGTTCTCCATTTTCTCTAAGGCTTCATTGGTGGCTTGGGCCAGTCTCCTGAAAAGATGGAGGGGGGGACGGCCTACGGAGCCTAAACAACTTTGGCAAGAAATTGGAACCTACAAGTCTCGACTCAACACCGAAAGCTTCAAAATCGATCTCCCCAACGCACCTCAACAGAAAACCCGGAACAGAGTCACAACCTTCCGATGTGTGCGGTTTTGGGGTTCAGGATTTCAGGTTTGTGGGTTGAGGATTCTCGAAGGTTGAGAGCTTAGAATGAAGGATGATGCGCGAGGGTTTTCGGTTTAGGGTTCAGGGTTTGTCATAGGAACCTATGTGAAGGATCGGTGGACTTAGTCAGGATGATTGGCCGATCTGTGCTAAATGACCGCAAGTAGCGACATGTGCAACCTACTCACCAAGTCTCGTGATCCTGCAATCACAAGTACAAAGTCCTTTTTGTACCCTGAAGTCTGGCGAGTTCTGTCAAACCATGAGGCCCTGAGGAGAAACCTCGTCTGATTCGTTGCCCCCTGCCCTGGACCTCTAAAATCACCACAACTCCACCCAGAAACGAAAACAAAGGCCGTAGACCGAGGCCAGAGCGAGCAAAACCACCCTACCGCCGTGCTCGACAACGGTGTTCGCGGCAGACATGCCTCACCAGTGCCGAAGTTTGGATTCAGGGAAGGAAAGAATGCGTCTGCAGCGCAGCGTTTCGGCTACTGTTGCAGGATTTCAGTGCAGACTTCCGGATTGGTGCATAGGAAGACACTGTTTCTCGTATTGAAGAATACAGAACTTTGACGATATGAAGGTGTACCACAAAACCGGTTGCGTGATGTTTCCTTCAAGTCTCCCGACAAATGCAGTATCGTGCGCAGCCGCTGCCCCTGAGCCCGAATCTTCATTATCGTCATCATCAACATCATCGTTCCCTCCCAGCCAGCGCCGCAGCTAAAAATCTTAACAGTAGAACTTGTCAGCCGCTAACAACTGAGTCCCAAAACCCCAAACTCCTCGAACCCGAAGCTCCATAGACTCCTAAGAACCTAAAACCCTATCCGCTGGGTCCCCGAACCCCACCTGCACCCGTAAAACCTCAAGCCCCTAAGCAGGCCCTAAGTCCTTCAGCCAGGAACCTCCCAGGCCGCCGCCGACGACAATCGCTTGGTTCGTGGGGAACGAGCATGCCATGGTCTTCAATCACAAAACCTGAAACTTAGGGTTTACTTCTAGTGTCTGTAGGGGCTGTAGGAGCTGGAGGCGTGGCAGGTTTTCCAGGTTCGGGGATTTCGGGTTTGTGGTTGAAAAGGGCGATTTGCAGATATGCTGCTTATGGTGTTGTAAGCGCCTGGTTGAAGGGAGTGCTTGATAAATCGGGTTTGTGGAGAGCTTGGACACTTTCGGCTTCAAGGTTTACGGCTTGTGACTCGCAACACCTGGAGCTGCGAGAGATTCAGGCGTTCCAGCTTGGATCGCAGGTGGAGCGGAGTTTGCAAGGACCCTGAATCCTTAAATCCTCCAGGTTAAGCCGAGTGACTTATGGGCTTAGGCGTTGGATTTTGGAAAAGGTGCTTAAGCCGTGTGGTTTGTATAGCGACGTTGCCCTCAACACCAGGGTCTGATTGAAGACTGAAGTTTGTATGTCTAGGTTCAAAGTTTCGGGTTTAAGCTTGAGGCTTGAGGGTTTGAGGGTTTGTTCCTTGGTGCTTCGGCATCAAGCCCTGAATCCCTGAAGGCCCTAATCCCTAAACTCCAAGCCGTCTAAACGCAAAGCCTGCAACCTGCTTTGGCCGAGCTGCCGTAGCCCTCAGGAAGGGCCTGTCCACCACTGAGGGTTCGGGGATTGTGGTCTGGGGCTGGCGAGAGTACGAGTGCCCGAAGTAGGGATGGATCAGTCGTAGCAGTAGTAGTAGTAGTAGTAGTAGTAGTAGTAGTAGTAGTAGTAGCAGTAGTAGTAGCAGTACTAGTAGTAGCAGCAGGAGTAATTGTAGTAGTAGTACTAGTAGTGGGTAGTGGTAGTAGTAGTAGTAGTAGTAGTAGTAGTAGTAGTAGTAGTAGTAGTAGTAGTAGTAGGTGGTAGTAGTGGTAGTGGTAGTGGTAGTAGTAGTAGTAGTAGTAGTAGTAGCAGTAGTAGTAGTAGTAGTAGTAGTAGTAGTGGTAGTGGTAGTGGTAGTGGTAGTGGTAGTGGTAGTGGTAGTGGTAGTGGTAGTGGTAGTGGTAGTGGTAGTGGTTGGTAGTGGTAGTGGTAGTGGTAGTGGTAGTGGTAGTGGTAGTGGTAGTGGTAGGGGTAGTGGTAGTGGTAGTGGTAGGGGTAGTGGTAGTGGTAGTGGTAGTGGTAGTGGTAGTGGTAGTGGTAGTGGTAGTGGTAGTGGTAGTGGTAGTGGTAGTGGTAGTGGTAGTGGTAGGGGTAGTGGTAGTGGTAGTGGTAGGGGTAGTGGTAGTGGTAGTGGTAGTGGTAGTGGTAGTGGTAGTGGTAGTGGTAGTGGTAGTGGTAGTGGTAGTGGTAGTGGTAGTGGTAGTGGTAGGGGTAGTGGTAGTGGTAGGGGTAGCGGTAGCGGTAGCGGTAGCGGTAGCGGTAGCGGTAGCGGTAGCGGTAGCAGTAGCAGTAGCAGTGGCAGTAGTAGTAGCAGTAGTAGTAGCAGTAGTAGTAGTAGGAGGAGGAGGAGGAGGAGGAGGAGGCTCGAAGAAAATAAACGCAACTCGCAGCTCCCAAACCTTGGGCCCGAAACCCCAAGCCCGAGTAATTAAAAGCATTACACCGTGGATCCACAACGCCAAAACCGAAACCCTGGAAATAAAGGCATATCAAGGGCTCCTATTGCTCAGAAATCAATCCCCTCACCCCTGCTCCTCGATTCCTCAAACCCTGGGCCCCAGCTCTGTGCCTCGAAGCTGGGCAATCGGTGCAGAGAAATGCCAGGAGCTTAAAAAAAGGGCTGCGACGGAGGACATCAAAAGGCATGTCTTGGCAAGCGCGGGCTTTCTCAAATTCAAGGATGGGCCTTTGTAGTCAAGGGCTCACGTGTCTAAGGGTTCACAGTTCACAACTGTCTGAAGAGTAGAGTTTAGGGGGAGGGTCTGGGTGTAAGGTTTGGGGAATGTTCGGCTACACAACCCTAAATCCCAGTCTCTCCAGCAAAAACAGCTTTGGGGCTTTAGGTTTACTGACTTACAGGCCGGGGAGAGCTACGTTCTCCCTCGCGACTCCAAAAGCCACATGGGTAATTCTAAACCTTGAGGCCTGAAGCCCTTACTTAACCTACACTCCGCCTGAACCTCACAACTCCTAATGATGGCTTTCAAGGCCCACTTTGCTCCTCGGGGGAACAGGACCGACTTTTGCGGAATTTTCAGTCAGCAGGGCTCAAGATGAGTGAGGTTTAGAGTTTGGGGCGCAGGGCTTCGGATTTTGGGGAATATGGCTGCAAGTATACCGGTGGAGGGGTAGGATTTCGTGTCGGGCTAAGTTCAAGGGTAGGCAACACGGCAAGTAGCCCCAAACTCGTCTGAGGTTGGAAACCTCGTACACTCGAAACCCTGAACCTTCTACGTACTCTCAACCCTGAGCCAAAACAACCGAATCTTAATCCGCCAGCCAACAAAACTGAAGCTTGGACCGCAGATTGCCCTGAATTCTAGGAAGCATACGTTCCTTTTGGGCGGTAGCTCAGCTCACAGGAGCAACACTGCCGCCCCCAAGGGACCTCTTCCTTAGGAGCATGTGGGTTTTGGGCACACTTGGTAAGTAGATTGGGGATTAGAGTTTAGAGTTTAAGAGTTTTCGGCTTAGGGTGCGAGGGTTTGGAGGGTACAGTACAAAGAGAAGCAAGGGACGAAGCAGGTTAAGATTACCAGCTTCAGGTATCTCTTTACAGTCCGGAGCCCTACTCATAGAATAGTCATTGGCGCGTCCAGGGAGGATTGCGGTGAAAAGAAAAGGAACCTATGATTTCGGCCTGTAGTGTGCGATGTATACTCTCAGCTATAACTCGTCCCAAGTCTCTTCACTCGATTCTGCCTGGGATCTGGATCTTGGTCTCGTAGCCTCGGCCGCTCGGGTTCTGTTTGCTGCGGGGCTTCGCGGCCCTGTTCTAACGTCGAGCACACGCATGCGGAACTTCCCCTTCTGTGGCGATGGTGATTATGCTGAAGGTGACGCTTCTTAACAGATGCGCACTGCTTGTACGATTGTGAGGACATGTGCTGGGTGACCAGCTGCACTAGCACCATCATTCAGGGTAGCATCGCTCCCTGCATGCTTCATGCTGTTTGTGAGATTGTTTAAGCAAGACAGAATATGAGACTAAGTGACTAAGTATGTACCTGGACTATGGTCTTCGCCTCGTAATTTGATTCGGTACTCCTTTTCGTTCTGCTGCCTTTACTCTTGTCACTTTAGATGATCGCATGGCCGTGGTTGCTATAGTGAGCAACCAGCATGGACCATGGAACAAGTCGACCGAGTATAACTAGACGGACTAAACGGCCCAGGCTTCGGGAACAACTCAAAAAGGGCTCAAACCCTAAAGGCTTGAAACCCCAAAAGCCGTAAAGCGAAACCTCCACGTTGCTCACTTTGATCTCGAGCCGAGCCGCCAGCAAAGGGCTTGGTTGCCATCACGTAGAGCGGGAAGGAGATGTAGACCAGGCCCATGACAATCCTGTGCTGCCCAGAGCGCCCCGCTTACCCTTCAAGTTTGAGGGCCTTCGGCCGCTTAACCCTTAGCCTTCATCCCAGCAGTTCGGTAGCTTTAGGAGCTCATGCTGCCGGTTCTCTTGGGAATAATGACACAGTTCATGACAGCCCGACAGGATTTGCCTTGGATCTAGTGGGCAGGGTTGAGGACTGAGGATGGATATCGCTGAATATGGGTAGGATTAAGGGCTCCGTGCTTAGGATGCAGGTGTCAGGAAGATGTTCTGCCGGAAACAGCACACCCCTTCCTTGCAAAGACAGAAATGAACTTCAAAATGTTGTATAAACCCAAAACATGTATTTTAGAAGTGAAAGCTTGCCTGCTTTTTCTGCCCCTAACTCTCTATGTGCAAGCACAAGCGTCATGATGCCGTAGCCGATAAGCTCCACGCGCCAGATGTGGCCCCTGGGAATTCCTAGCACCGGCGTCACCTTCTTCCAGCCAATGCAGGCGTGGTACATGAAGATGCAGACAGAGAAGATGTAGAAGAAGGACCAAAGGGGGTTCTTAAAGATCTGAAACTCCAAGGCCTTGTAAGTCAGACCGCTCACGTGACAGCTCTGATCCCACAGCTACGCAGCAAGTGCCTGTTACAAGCTAAAGCCTCTCCAGCGAGCATATTCCTGAGCGCGGCACGTAGATGTCGCGCACGCCGACCTTCTCCACGCTGGCATCGGAAGTCCAGAAGAGGTTCAGGGAGGAGATGCCCCAGAAGTTGATGAGGTACGGAGGCGGCCGGATGTAGTAGGGGCCGAACTGGTCGGTGTCGCCGAAGCGGAACTGGAAGAGGTGGATGGTCATGAAGGTCAGGAGCATCAAGCCGGAGATGGCCAAATTCAGGACGTTGATGCCCTGGCTCTGCACCAAAGCGAGCTTCATGTCCCATGTTCGCTTCAGGCCCACGAATACGTGGAGCAGCACCGACAGGAGGATGTACTCCTCGACGATGTTGGCTGGCAGGCCAAAGCCCGTCCAGTAGAGGCGCACGTAGAAGTAGCCGTAGCCGTTGAAATCATCCGGGCCTCCGACCCCCTTAAATCCCCTTACCCTGAACCTGAAGCTAGAGGGACCCGAGATGCGGGATGTGAAACGTGGCCGTAAGATCATTTACCGTTTCGTTAGGCCCTGTTCACAAGGATTTGTATTTCCCTTGTCCCCAATGTCCCTCATTTCCAGGAACGTTTAGAATAGCCCACACGTGGATTCCCTGTGATACCGTTGCCGACTCAACAGCAGACGGCGACCTAGCGTGGAATCCCAGATATCCCTACTTCAACTCTCCGGTGGGGTTTAGTTTAGGGCTTTCTGCGTTCTTGCTGACGAACTTCAGACTTCAGATTACCACAGGTAAATCAGGAAAACATATCGATTGAGAACAAATTACATCCATATTGTCGTAAGTTCCTAAAGCCCACAAACCCTAAACCGTCTTGAGGATGGCCTTTAAAAACGTGGAGGTTTCCCACTGCATGGATGACGATGAAGAGCACCAGGAGGATGGCACTGCGAGTGAGACCCAAGCGATCGTTGGAGATCCTTTGCTGGAGTTCAAGAGCCTTTGGGATTTTGGGCATGAGGATTTAGGGATTTGGGGGTTCAAGGCTTAGGGCAAGGCCCCAGGGATTATAGGGCTTCGGGTGTAGGGTTTAGAGTTGGGTTTTGATGCTTTATGGAGGTTGGGGGAGGCGAGGAGCGGGTTCAGGCAGTTTATTTCGGGTTAAAATGTGGCTGACAAGACCATCAGGGGAGCTGAAAATGATCCAGAAGTGAAACCTAGGATCTTGATGTTCTTGGCAGAGAAGATGGTGGCGCAAACTTCCTTGGGCTTCTCTCAGCATGATAAGTGCTCGGGCCAAACGGTGGACAAGGTAGGGGGGTTCGAGTTTGGGTTGGGAAACCCCACACGTGACAACCTTGCAAGTAACTACGACGTGCCGGCGTCATGTGCCAATGTCTGATCGTGTTCCTCCGGAACAACAATTCAACTAGAATAGCCTTTGCAGGAAATGTGAGCAACTGGCTTCAACATGATGTTCAGCACTTTGCAGCTTGGGGGGCTTCCGGACTATGGACACTATGTACAGGCTTGTGGTTTGCGATTCAGGTGTTCACGAGAGTGCCGAGTGCGAGCGAAAATGTGCATGAGTACTGAAACAAGGCAGCTTTCCGAGCGACATCGACATCCTACTTGTCCTTTCGCCTCTTTCGTACTTGACTTGTCCCAGAACGCCATGCTTCCCTGAAGCCTGTCCTGACACACGAAACAGGTGCTGCTGTGGCACATACAGCACCGAGAGCAGCAGGAACCAGGTAGCATTGAAGTAGGACTTCACGTTGATGAGCAGGACACCTTTGAGGCTTCAGTTGATGCCCTTCGGACGCGCTACAGCCGCTACACATGGCTTCAAGGCTGGGAGGACGCAGCACAAAGCCCTGAACTGAACCCCAGGCTTGCCTAAAGCCTGAAGGCCCAACAAAGGCCTAGACCCCCCAAAGCCTGAAGTGCTCCACAGGCTAAACCGTTACCCTTGGCACTGAAAGCTTGCTTTTAAAAGTCTATCGTTCGGCCTGCCAGTTGTCAGGGCTGCTTGAGTAGAAACCGGATCTTTCTGCGCAGACCGAGTGCAACCATGACATCGGAAGAGTTAGCATTGCTTTTGGATCGAATACTACAAGGAACCCGAAACTGGCATTGTCTTGCATTAGGCAGTCTAAATGGCAGGTTGAAGAGTCAGTTCTGCAGCAGGATTTAGGGTCTGAGATTCGGGGTCCTGTGAACAAAGCCTGATATGCGCTGAATTTTCAAGCTTGCACTCTGCTGAACAAGGATTCATGTAGTTGTTCTGGTCCAAGTTTAAAGTATTTATCAACAGACATTCCCGAAAGACCCGCAGAGTACAATGTCCATTCTCCTTCCCCGGCCTGGGTTCTCGTCGAGGTCCACTCGCCAGTTGGGTGCCCCGTCCAGGTGACCCCAAGCAGCATGGTTGCCGAGCTTGCTGCCCGTGTCTTTCCTGACAAGCTGCTGCCTGCCTCTCCTTATCTCTCTGCCTCCCACCTTCCCTTTCCCACTGCAGTCCTGATGGGCCCGCCGCCGCCCGCCTTGGGCGCGGCGCTGGCGGCAGCTGCCACGCCGGAGCCGACCGCACCGATCACGGAGTCTGGAGCGTACTTGCCGATGACATCTGGAGGATGGATCCTCAGCAAACGGAAACAAACAATCCCACAAACTGGCTTCTGCATCTCGTCGACGCTCTAATGCAGAGCCGAGGAGCATGTTGAACTCCTCGGTGGCATCCTTTCCGGCGAAGGTGAGGATGGCCAGCTCGCCACCGGGGTGCTCCGACAAGAAGCTGGTGACGTCCAGCACCTGACCGTCGACGACCACCCAGCAGTCCGTCTTGGTGTTGTGCTTGGCCACCTCGGTCATGGGGATGCCTCCACCGCCGCCGCCGCCTCCGCCGGCAGCAACTGCACCGCCACCGCCGCCGCCACCGCCACCGATCATACCAATGACAGAGTCAGGAGCATACTTGCCAATCACATCCGGAGGGTGGATCCTACAGTTCAACATGACTGCTTGCACACAGTATGCATACTGGCTGCTTGCGGCCAAGCGTCATGTTGAACTCCTCCGTGGCATCCTTTCCGGCGAAGGTGAGAATGGCCAACTCGCCGCCGGGATGCTCCGACAAGAAGCTGGTGACATCAAGCACCTGGCCATCGACCACCACCCAGCAGTCTGTCTTGGTGTTGTGCTTCGCGACGTCTGCCAGGGTCATGCCGCCGCCACCTCCGCCACCTCCGTTTGCCATCGGTGCTGCAGCGGCCGCCGGTGCAGCAGAGTTCATCTTGTCCTCGTAGGAGCCGCCAGCCAGCTTGGAGCTCTGCACCGCACCAGACAGCCCTCCGCCGGTGATCTGCATCAGATCCACATCCTTCATGTCGGCGCCCAACATGTACTTGGCAGCAGCCTTTCCGGCCACACGGCCGAACACCACGCAGTCCAGCAGGGAGTTTCCTCCCAAGCGGTTGTTGCCGTGCACGCCGCCCGCCACCTCGCCAGCAGCGTACAAGCCCGGCACTGGCAGGTTGTTGGAGCCGATGCATGCAGAGTCGGTGTCAATGAGGAGGCCGCCCATGCAGTAGTGGATCACGGGCGTGATGATGGCAACGTAGAAGGGCTCGTTCTTCACGGCGTCGCCAGGGATGATGTTGTGGAAGAACTTCTTGCCGCTGCCCGTCTTGCCACTGGCCTGGCACGGTGTTAAGTGCAACCTAGAGTATAGTCTAGTCCAAAGTCTGGTGACTCGTGTGCTGCTCTCAGCTGAAGTTGCGATACGTTGCCTCGTCCCAGCACTTGCCAGACGGATAGGCAGGGTAGGGGCCGTCGTCTGGGTGCGTCTCCGTCTTCTTGGCTGCCTGGAAGTGGTCCTCGTGGGCCTTCTCGATCACAGACAAGGAGACACCCATGTCCTTCGCCAAGTCCGCACCGCTGCTGTAGTACTTCATGACCTGGAGCTTCCACGCAGCATGCTGGAGAATTTCAGCACACGGTTGACCCGACTGTGCTCCCCACGCCGCGGCCAGTGTAGTGCCTCGGATGCTGCACCGCCAGGTCTCGAATACGGATCAGTCGGCGATGTGGACACGGTTTGCTCAGTACGCGGCTTGCAGTGCCAGATGATCTCATCGGAGGCTGCCTTGTTGAGGCAGAGCCTGCCCAAAAGAAAACACAAGCCAGGACGGGAGAGTGAGGAAAAGGTGTGAGCGACCGATTTTGCACAAAGCCGGGGTTGCAAGGCACCTGAATGGTGGCTTGCTCTTCCACATCTCGCCCGTGACGTAGTCGCGGCCTGGTGTTGCAAAGAAACCCGGAGAAGACACTCCGCCGGACTCTCACGGACTCTGACGCTCTGCCTAAGGCCCCCGCGGCCCAGCTCGTTGCAGAAGCGCTGGCCCTCGGCATTCAGGATGATGCCGCCCACGCCGCGGAGGGCCTGCAAGGGCGTTGGGGCTTCGAGCTTCTTCAGTGTAGGTTGAGAGCCGAGTGGAATGCGGAGTCTGTAGAACGACGTATGCGCGACCTCGGCGGCGAGGAACTTGATCTTGGCATCGGCGTCGTCCGGCTTCACGAGGCCGGTGGGGTGGACCTGCACCCACTCCAGGTCGATGGTCTTCGCGCCGATCTCCTGACAGGAACGGGCTCTCCCACTCTGCGGCCTACTCGTGGCAAGAAAGGGTGCAGCAACTGCATGATGGTGGGATGGAGGGCGGCGCCTCGCCCATCTTGATGCCATCGCCCGTGCAGTGCTCGCCGTTGGTGGTGGGCAGGTGCAGAAGGTCGGGGCGGTACTTGGCCAGCAGGGAGTTCTGGGTGAAGTCGGCGCCGAAGCCACCTGCAGCATGAATCGCCGACGGCAGCTTGACTCGCATTCGATTCATGCAAGTCTTGCGCCCCTGCCTGACGCCAGGATCACGGGGCCGAACTCCTGGAAGTTCTGGCCACCCTTCTCGTAGACGCAGCCCACGCAGGCGTTCTTGTCCGTCACGAGCTTGAAGACCTTGGCCTTCGTGATGATGCGCGCCAGGTCCGTCTTCTCCGCAACCTCCGAGAAGTTTAAGCGAAAGGAAGCTGAATTGCAGATCTTCCAATTTGAAATCCATCCCGTCTGCGATTCTACATCCACCCGGAAGTCGTTACAAGCAGTCATGACACTGATCAAGCTGTATTGGAAGACCTCCTGCTAAATACTGCTTTCACACTGCACAGAAAAGCCTTCTCCAGCATCTGGATCAGGGCGTAAGTAATGGTCATACCTCCAGGCAGATTTATGTTGAATCCACGTTTGCAAGCTGTGGTATAGCACAGGCATGCATTCAGGTACTCCAAGAAGTTGTGAAGAGATAGGGCTCAGTGACATACTGCCCATTACCATTGTCAAGATTGTTTAGCTTCTCTTTTGCACGGATGCCGCTCTTTGTTGTGAACCAGGTCCATTGAGCTGTTGGTTGGGGGGCTTACAGCAAACTAGCAATGGTCTTTATTTGGCTGACAAGGACCACCCTTATAAACAGTTGGACCATGGCCTGCCGGATTCGCAGCCAGAATCCTTAACCACGAACCCTGAGCCTCAGCCCAAAGCTCTGAACTGTAAACGAAACCGCTGAAAGCTATAACAGCCTGCAGGCTTCCAGAAGAGATCAGAAAAAGCCAAGCTCTGAGGAGAATGCCCGAGGCCCCCTGTCGAAACAAGAAGGTAAGTGTAGCAACGTACGGAAGGTACAAACACACAAAATACACATATGCACATGCCTATATGTATATATACATACATACATACATACATGCGTGTGCATACATGCGTATTACTTGGTTACTTGCAAACGGAGTATGGGGTCTATGGTACTTCCCCAGCCTGGGAAACGCTCTTTACCTCTGTGCGTGCGTGGCTGCGAGTGGCCACCCAGGCGGGCGACCAGGGACCTTGCACATCTCCAAGGGCTGAGGGTCGAGGGCTTGGGACTGTTGGGTTTTAGCACCACCGCCTTAGCATTTGGCATTTAACACAAGCATCTATGATCAATTTGAAGGCAGATTGATCTGATTTATATGCATGTTTGTTCCTTTGTGCTGGCATGTTCGCGCCAATCGTCACTGTCACGATCGCCCTTCTGCACATCATCGTGTTTGTAAAGCTCCCAAGACCAAGACCCCAAATGTGATTTCCTTTCGTACGGTCAACTCAGCATGCAAACATATGCAGTCACCCAATCGACACACTCTACATGGGTTCTCTGGGATAACTAAGCTGGACTTCTGGCCCCCCAAAAACCCTGAACAATGACCATAGAATGCCCTGCGACCAGGTTTGGTGAACCTCTTCAGAATGCATCGCTCCCCCTCAAGACCGCTTCAGCGTGCACAAATCCACTCAGCAATGAACGTAATGCAAAAGAACTCACCTAATCTGGCAAAAGACCTTTTAGTTTGGTTCACTTGGAGAGCACAGTGAGGCGAGAAAAGAACAATTCAAAGGACATCCAAATTTTGCGTCTTTCGTTCCGGAAAAAAAGCAAACACCAAGGAGCGCAAGGCAGACATTGAGAATGACCGGAACACCAGAATAGAACTTATCACCCGGTTCTTGTTCATTCGGCAGCCATTGGACCTTCTGAAGGTATGCTTGCAAGGCAAGATGACGCAGTCTTCACCCCACCACATGCTGAGAGGATCACGTCCGCAGAAGGGCATGCGAATCAGCAAAATTGAAAGCAACCCGCCAGTGCCCGGCGAGCGCGAATGCACACCAATGAGCAGCAGCCGCAGCAGCACAGCGCCCAGCAGCAACGTCAGCATGATGATTCAAGATGCGCCACTCTTGGCAAGCAGCCAAATGCAAGGCTTTACGGTAGGAAGGAAGCCCAGAGACAAAGAATAAACCTTTACTACCGCACCTCGCCCCAAATGACCAATGAATTTAAACAATGTCCTAGACCCTGAACCTTTTCAAGCTGGGCCTTAAGCCACATGGAGCCCCTAAATGTGCCTTTAGTGAACCCACACATAAGCGCCCGTTGTTCCCGAAGGTGGCAACCTTGTGCTTATGCCGGCAAGTGAGTGCTTGGTGTATGCACAGAAACCCCACCATCTCATGCCCAATCTCCTCCAACCCCAAGACGTTTAAAACCCCAAACCCTCAGCACCAAAACAGCCGCTAAGGCCGCAGGCAAATCAAGGTTGAACTTGTCCACCAGCCAATCCTGAGCAGGAAGAGGAGAGACGCTCGCACTGGTATCTCAGATGGGCGGTGAAGCTTTGGGCTGTGGGTCCAGGAATTACGCGATCTGGACCATGTTTGCTTGTTGCCGTTAGTTCTCACGCAGCTCCGGTTCTTTCTGCGAGGAGCTCGGAAACACTGTTTTAGGGATTTGAGGGTATAGGGAATGGGGCTAAAGGTTCAGGCCTCTAGGGCCCGTGCTTAAGGGTCCAGGGTTTGAAGTTTGAGTTTCGGGTTTAAGGCTTAGGGCCGCTTAGGGCGAAAGTTTAGGGTAAAGGATGGTGAAGTCCGGCAGGCGTCTGAAGCACGTTCAACACCTGAAGCCGTTCCAACGTTTTGGCAGCTAAGACAGGAATCGGGGTCTACGCCTAGGGTTTAGGACCATCTTTGAGAAAAGCAGCCACGTCGTCGGCGCTGTTCACGCACAGAAGCCTTGTTCGGGGGAGGGGATTTCGGGTTGTACAGATCATTCAAGGCTTCGGCTGTAAAAGTTAGAACTTGCACACAAGTGGCTTTGGCTACAGAAAAGAAAGACAACAAAAAAGGAAGGAGACTTACTTCGAAGATGGTCTAGGGCGTTCGGTCTACAGGCTGCTAGCTCACCCAACAGCAGGAATGCCTATCAACGAAGACCCGAAGATAGAAGAAAGAACCTGTGCCAATCCTACGGAACCCCTAAACCTCGCAATTACAGCCATACCATACCTCCTAGAACCTGCAAGAACCAATAAACCCTCAACCCTAAGACCCGAAACAGACCTGTAAACCGGTCAGGCAGGAAACCCTAGGCTCTGGAAAAACCTAGCCCCAGCGGCTTTGCCAGCTCGGGCTTCTTGGCGCCACCCTTCAAAGTGTCCTCCAAGGAAATGACGTTCAGGCAGTTTTGGGGCTAAGCGCTTTGAGGAGGCCTCTGGCTTGATTTGGGGCTCTTGGGGTTGAAGGGGGTTTAGGGCTTCGGGTTAAAAAGGGCTTCGAAACCCCAGAGATTTTGGGACTTGGAGTTGAGCGTTTGGTCGCTGGATTTCGGGTCGCAGCTCTTGGCATCGAATGCTTTGGAGTCTCGGGGTGTTTAGCCAAAGTTTGACGGTTTAAGGTCGAAGGGTCTACAGCTTGAGATGTTCTGGCTTTCGGGTTGTAGTGGGCCTAAACCGCACACTCGCAATCCTTAGAGCCTAGAGCCACAAAACCCTTAAGCTCGGACATCCCAGCTTAAAACTTCTTGAACCGACAGCCTGATACGTTTCGCTCTTAGGCTTGGAACTTTCATGAGCATTTGCAGCCGTCTGTGACGTTTCGCAGGACTCAGTGCAAGAATTCATGGGACCAGAAAAAGCCTGAAGGGCTTCAGGCCCTAGGGCTTGACACAAATGACAAGAACACTCCCCTTTTTCTGAGAACCCGGTTAACTCCAAACATTAATATTTGAGCTTCGATGTAAAACGAGTCTTGGATGACGTACCTTCAAGTTGCCTTAAACTTCAGGCATACCAGTCTGCAAGCTTTAAATGCTGAGCACTACAGCTTAAGACCTGAATCGTCAGAGTACAGTATTTTGCAGGCAATCCTAACATACATGCATGGTCTGAGCCCTTTTTTGTTACACCTTCCATTCAACACTCCCAGGCCCAAGAGCTGCCTGGGTGAAGATCTCCGCATTGTCGGGGATTCCCTTGGCCTTCTGGGTCTTCGTGCCTCCGAATTCAAGGCCATGCAACCTGAATCCTAAACCATCTCAGGACATCCTAAACTTGGAACCCGAAACCCTAAACCCTGAATCCCATGCCAGGCTTACGGAGGTTTAGGAAGTGTCAAGAGCTTCTGATTTCCCTGGGTACGTCCAATGAAGGCTTCTAAGTTCTCATAAGGGCATATACGACCTTCCGGGTTTGCAACCTCCAGAGGGACTGTAAGACAGACCCTCTAGGAATGTCGCGGCTGTGCAAAGCCTGGGGTTCAGGGGCAAGCGGTACCGACTCAGAAGACCCTGGTGCTTTGGTATTTAATTGTCATGGTCCCGATCAGCACGCACATGCGCAGGTCGCATCGCTAGTGCTACCCACTTTTCTCTTTAGAGCCAAAGCAACTGTTGATTGTCGTCATTTGTCGTCCATGACGACTGGTGCCAAGCTACTCCTATGACTAGTAACACTAGTCACTAGTACCGTGACTATGCCTGCGACTGTCAGCATCAGGATAGGTATCAGAACCGCTGCAGCTCTTACGATATCCAGCAAGCCGAATCAGACAAAACTGACAAAACAGTGCAGGACTGAAAAACTGCGACTGCAATGAAGAACACAGACGCTCAAACAGACAAGAGCCTGCATCCAGAATTCCACACCAAAGTACCGCTGAACCCGCGTAAACCAACACCCTCAAACTCAAAGATTCCAACACCCCAGTCTCCGCAAAACAAAAAACCATCAGCAAATCCCTAAAAAGGAGCGCCCAAGACCCACCTGCACCGTTGATGCCGGAGGTGGCTTTGGTGCTGTTGCCGCCGCAAAAAGACGACTTGTCCTTAAGGCTACAGGAGGACCGTATATCCGGCTCAGGGGCTTCGAACTTCGAGTTTTCGGACTGAGGCTGAAAAGGACTGCTTCCGGCGTGGCTTTCGGGTTTGCCTGCTGAGAGGTAACATTTAGGATTCGGGATTTGTCCTGGCTTGGGTTGAGCGTTTGGAGCTTTGGGGCTGAAGGCTTTGTCGACAAGCTTCGGGATTGAAGCTTTCGGGTTGTCCAGGACTTTTAATAGTTTCGCCAAGTCTTGACGCCGCTCTGGATTGACGTAGGACAACACTGACAAATATGTGCAGAGCCTCTCGACCC